ACAGTTTATATAATACAAATATTTAACCTTTTATTTTTTTCAAATTATACGTAAAAATGCAGACATTTCTTGTAACTTTGGATAAATGAGAGAACCACGTTTCTAGATGGAAACAGTTGGTTATAATAATAATAATAAAAACTGCTGACATGACATCGTTTAATTCCCTGACTGGGGAGGTTAGTCACTGTAATAAAACACATAAATCTTTCTGCATCTTAATACTGGAGGCTGAGCATAAAGAAACTCTGTTTTATTACCACAGCTGACCAGGAGGTGGCAGTGTTATCACAAAAATAAATAACTGGCCACACTCAGATTAATGTGAAACAGCTAAATGTGGCAGGGGTTAAGATGTTTTAACCTTTCCATTTAGGGTCTATAAACAGATGTGTGGCCATGTAGCGTTGCTGTAAGAGGAACTCTGTAGGAATCATTTGACTTTCCTGCACACTGCAAAGTTATACTCGGAATACTGATTGCTGTATGTCCTCATGAAGTACGCACACATTTTGTCAGGCTACAAAATGTAATACACATGCAACTGTGTGCTTTTGTTCTCTCCGGGCTGAAACAAAAAGCCTTTATATAAAATAACTCTGCATTCGGATGATGTGTGGTTTTGGCTGCAGCAGCCGAACTGATCTCCTGCAGAGATCTGCGCACAGATAAAGTCGTGTTTATAACGAGAAGACGAAGGTTGTTGGAAAGGCTTTCGCATGTAGTGACAGATGAGTTGTTTCTGGAACTTATTAGGGTTTTTAAATACAAAAAAACACACACAAAAGTCACACACTGAGGAATCTGATCAACAACCTTACAACAGTTAAAATAATGAGTGGAGGAGCCACAGGTGTGCAGGCAGGTGACCCATAACAAAGAAGTCATATGATTCACAGAGGAAGGAAACTCACTGAGGACGTCTAGTGGACAGGTAGACACTCAGGTAGACCAAGCAGGATCCTGGACTCAGCACACTGCTGTCCAATACGATTGTGTTATTAACTTCACATGTTCATTTTATTATATGGCCATTTTACCAACGTGTTTGGCTTGTTAGCCTTTAAAATGAAGTCATATCTCCTCCTAAACTCTCGTCCCAGCTTGCATGTCTCTTTGTTGTTAACCAAACAATGATGGTCTCCACTAAAAATGTTTCCTACAAAGACTAATTGGGCGCTTTAGACGCCAAAATAGGTAAAATTATCAGTATTTCACAGTTAAAGTCAAGAGAAATCTGAGCAAAGTCCAAAATAACAGAGAATATTTCATTTGTGTGACTAAAATATGCAATTTTATCTCACAAAAAGGAGTTCATATTACAAGAGCAATGCAACTGTGCTTTTAATTACACCTGTTTTATTTTATTATCTTTTATGACAGTGTTTCCCAAACTCTCTGGCTTGTTAGTCTGATAAACGAACCCATCTGTCCTCCTAAACTCGTGTCACAGCTTGCATGTGTCTTTGTCTCTCAGCGAACAATGATGTTCTCTACTTAAATGTCTTCAACTGGGGCTATTAAGACATTTTTAGAGGTCAAAAGAGGTAAAAGACAACTGTGCAAAAGCAGAGATTGTTTCTTCAACACAAATGTATAATTTTGTCTGACAAAAGTAGTTCATATTTCAAGAGCGATGCAACTGTACTATTAATGACATCTGTTTTATGTTAATTTATTTCATTATATGGCAATTTCCCAAACTTTTTGGCTCGTCAGCCATAAAAATTAAACCCCATCTTTTCCTAAACTCCTGTCACAGCTTACACGTCTTTGTCATTCACCAAATATTGATGCTCTCCACTGAAACGTTTCCAACAAGGATGTTTTTAGAGGCAAAAAAATGGATGAATTATCAGTATTTCACAATAAAAGTAAAGAAAAATCAGAGAAAAGTCCAAAAAAGCAGAGATTATCTCATTTGTGTGACTGAAAAATGTAGTGTTGTCTTACAAAAGGAGTTCATATTACAAGAGTAATGCAACTGTGCTATTAATTACACCTGTTTGATTTATTTTCATTTCATGGCAGCGTTTCCCAAACGTTCTGGCTTGCAAGCTTAAAAAAAAAAAGAAGAATAAGCCATATTGCCTCATAAACTCTTGTCACTGATTGATTGTGTCTTTGGCATTCATCAAACAATGATGCGTTCTGCTAAAAGGTTTTCTAGTAAGACTCATAAGATGCTTTAAGAGGCCAAAAGTAACAATGAAAGTGAAGAAAAATCAAGGAAAGGTCCAAAAAAACTAAGATTATTTAATTTGTGTAATAAGAGTTTATGTTAAAAACTTATGTAAGCTCATGTAAAGTGTCCTTCGTGTTTAATTTCCCATCTTTTGCATCACATTTAAACCTCTTATAGCTCCTCAGTGGGTCCCACCCTGCAGGTAAGGAAGTCAGAACGTCTGCAAAACCTTTATTAAATACGAAACCTTTCATTAAAAACGTCTCGTAAATTTAAGTTCTTGTCTTATTCTCCAAATTGTAACTTCGGCATCATCATTAGCTGACTTGAAAACGAGCTGCACATCATTAAAGGATGTGCAGTTTATCCTGGATTATTGGTTCATGTGACCCATTGCTTCAATTGTCAAGATTTCTGAATGACTCCGGAGAGAGAGAGCAGCAATCAGAAGAGACTAATACCAGCTGCTTTCTGTATCTAATTAGCCGATGAAACCCCCATGTCCCAATTTTTCACGGAGAATATGTTCTTTTGTGAATTGTTTTTGCCCATCTGGTTCTGTTTGGAGCAGCGTCCCAGAGGACTTGTTTACAGTTCCATGCATCATCTCGGGAATCAGGAGTAGAGAGCCCTGACTTGCAGCTTCACCGTGTAATCGTACACACAGATGGAAGGTTTCTCTGCCTGCTCGCGTCCCTTTGTGTATCTCTGTCAGTCGTAACGGTGCGAGGACGGGCCCAGATGTTTGACAAACTGTCACGCAGCGTGTCCAAGTTTTGATGTGATTGGTACAAATGTGGGAGCGACGAGGGAGAAGACTTCACCTCCTGCGACTCGGAGCTGGCGGTGATGAGATGCGTGTCATTAATTTTTTTTATAAATTAAACAGAGCTGACGATGACAGAGATACCGCTGGAAGCTGTGCAAACCAGAAACCAGAATATGGTCAGCGTAAGGTCAAAGCTGAGCACCTCGAACATACTGAGCACAAAATTACAGGGAAACTGCTGGAAATGAAAATATAAAGTGAAGAGAAGCTCAATATTCAGTCACCGTCGGTTATTACATAGGAATAGTGGTAAACCATACGAGGGCAAAGAGCCATAAAACTCTCTATTATAGATTGGTTTGGCAGCTGCATTTGTCTGAAGTGATTTATGTTCTTTCTGGCGCACATCTGGAGCTGTTTTAGGTGTAACGTCTTGCTTTGACTTGTGAGCAGCAGGTGCTGATAATCAATAGATGATTAGTTGTACACAATGTGATTTTAATGCAAGGAGAAGGTGGTGCTGTTAAAACTATACCAAGTAGATGATTGTAAACCCCATAACGGGAGACTGTAAGACTATTAAAGTGATAAAATGAGTTTAAAAATTATGTCCAGATCCCAGAGTAACACAGTGATTTAACTAGTATTTATTAGTATCAGGAGCAATACTACTGGGTTTTTGTTTTTTGTTTTTATTCAGAAAGATACTAAATACCACAATTTCAAGTAAGATTATTGGAGTGGAGATAATTCCACCTGAAGCTACAGTAAAAGTTGCTGCGATTAACTTATCAGCATTTCTATAGGACTGAAAATACAGGATGTCATTATTCATTAAAAGGAAAGGGAGGACGAACAAGTCACCAGACACTCATTGTTGAGCCCCATAGATATATAGTTAGATTTACTTCATGAAGAATATACACTGACACCCAAAAATCTGCATATAATTCTTTAAACTACATGTGTTAAAATTGGTTTTGAAGCTTTTTAGAATGCATTAAAGCAGCACCGTAAATAACATGAATGCCACAATTAGGGAAAACATCACAGTAAAGTAGTTTTTGAACACTACATAGTAGGAAATAAATAGAAATATACATAATATATACACAGCAGATACAGTAAAAACAGCTTATAGTTATTCACACTTAACTTTCTAGCAGCTCCCTAATCATGGCAGTCCCTAAGTTAACACTTTTGTTTGTTGAAAGAAACCAAATTAACCTATACAGTTTGTTTTTGTTTTGTTTTTTTGCTTTAAATTTGTAAAAGTTTTTAGTTTATGACTATTTCTAATATCACTTGACGTTGCAGTGGCCAACATATTCAAATAAGCTGTGCTAAAAAAAAAAAAAAGTACTGAAGTATTGAATTTGTACAGTGTTTTATATAGTAAAAGAGGGTTAGAATTTAATACAACACAATAACTAACCAGCAGTAAAAAAAAAATGCATTACTATCTGTCTAAAAGTGGAACGACTTGGCTTTATGTTAGGAGCTATATGCGATATTAGCTTGATGTAGCATTACCCAGCTAGTTAGCTAGTTAGCTTGAATTCCTCACAACTGTAATCTAATGAGTCATCTCTGGTGCTGATTTCACATTGTTTCGTATGCCAGGTATTTTAATATCAATGATGATAAAGTTATTGCAAAGTTTGTTTGTTTTTTACCCCCCAAGATACACCAATTTTATTTAATTAGCAATAATCTATTTAATAAAACAAATCTGAAATAATTTCTGACATTTGTGACATCACCATGTCATGTTTGTCATGTTATATTTATAAGTATTTTTTCTGTTCTGTTGTTTCAGGGTCAAAGATGTGGGTCTTGTGTAAATCAATGAACCTGTGATGTGACGTCAACATTGTGACTTTAATTTACCTTGAAGGAAATGCTCTTTCATCGTACACATAGTGGTTTTACGGTGTCTTAACACGGCAGCCCTCAAACCTGGGCTCCTACAAATACACTTGTCACAGTGGGACGTTTGAGTTGCAGTAACATCAAAATCTGACACTAAAGTTAATCTTATGCATAAGTAGCTTGTATTGTTCAAAATGACGCGTGAAGCCAGATTTTCCCTGGGATGCTGCTTTTAAGAGTTTGCATTTAGCTTAATTAAACCAAGCATAAAGTCATGGCACAGTTATTTTTCAAGATTTAATCTAATCATCCCCTGTGACTGTTATTTACACATTATTTTGTATGTCAGGTATTTAAATAGCAATGACAACAAAGTTATCGCAAAATTATATGTTTTGTCCAAGATCCATCGGTTTTATTTATTTGCCAATAATCTATCTATAATAATACTGATACTATTACTACTACTACTACTACTACTAATAATAATAATAATAATAATTTGTGGGTGTGTTATGTAACATTTGCAGTCAAAGTTAGTACAAAATCAAATCTGAAAATGAAATTAACTCTATGCAAAAGTAAGACTTCCCCTTTTAAGATTTTACATTTAGTTTTATGAAACCAAACTTGTCGTATGTTATGATTTAATGAGAATTCATAGACATTGTTTCTAAGGAGGAAAATACTCATACTTGTGTCAATACTTTCATTAATGAAAAAATCTGTGCAATAATTTTATTTCAATAATTATGTAGTACTTGTTACAATACTTGAACAAAATACTACTGTAAGGATAAAAAAAAAAAAAAAAAAAAAACAGGGTTAATGTTAATCGCAGAGACACTTTCAAATCCATATCATCAACTCTGGATCCAAAAAAAAAAAAAAAAAGTTCTCCTCGTGCGTGTGCACGCGCAGCACAGCACATGCAGCTTGAGCGCGCGCTGCAGGATCGGTGGGAAGTAACAGTCCGCGTGCAGCAGCAGCAGCAGCAGCGGCGGCAGCAGAGCGCGAGGCAGCAGAGATCAGCCTGTAGTGGATTCAGCGACACGGTAAGAAGAGCTGCTAATGTCACTTTACCGACTTTAAACCCGCTCACACTGCTCTGCCAGCCACTTTAACGTCATACTGCACTGTTTGTGTTCTCTGTCAAACGTGTGAGGTTAAAACAAAAACGTTTTTTAATCTTATAATATTTAGACTTGTTTCCTTCTGACAATGAGCATGATGGAGAAATAACTAGTATTTGTTGCTGTTAGTGGACATTGTGTGGTGGATGTAAATGTGCAGACAGAGTTAGTGAGAAGTGAGGAAAACTGCTCCACACTGTAGTTAAAAAGTGTCATTATGAGGTCTAATTTTACCTCCATACCATTGGATTACACAAGAACTTGTTTTGATTGTGCAACAAGGATTTCAGGAAGGCAATTAATAGAGAGGCTGCTATACACTGTAGTGAGCTCATAGCCGAATGGTGCCTTGTGATATTTTTTCCCTCTTATTACTTATGGGACTCTTCCTTTCCACTCCTCTGCAGTCCGCTGATTTATGTAATGTAGCTGGAATGAAAAGTGCTGCGCAGGGGGTTGGAAATCTGGCTTACTGAGAGTCGAACAGATGAGGAGGCTTGTTTTAATCATTAGTCTCGTGGTATCACTGACATGGAGCTTGTGTTGGGGTTTGAACACCGCCAGGCCTCGACGGTGTGCGCTGCGAGGTTAATTTTGTTATTTACCTCATTTAATGTTATATATGAGGCTATTAAAGGGGCAATAAACAAGGCTTGTTTCGCAGAATTGCACTAATGCGCCTTTGGGAGGTTGATCAGGTTGTTGATCAATACCGATGACTCACTGATTATTTCGCCAGATGCTCAGATTGTTTGTTCAAGTGCTCGCATGGAGCATGGCGCTACGAGCGGGAAACAGCAGTGCGCCAAGGTTTGTTTCGACCTAAAATATTTGTTTGGCCTGGCAGTCGTACTGTATGTTCGCCGCAGTTTCACGCCAGGGGAAGAAAATAACAAAAGCGTTTCAGTTTTACTGGCTTGTTTACCTATTGATGACTTTTGAAAATGTAAGCAACGGATTCAAAATGTGACATTCGGTTGCAACACGGTCGGTTTCAACTCCCGAGGGCTCGTCCTCCCCCCGAACAACGACCCCGCGGCTGGTTTTGAAAGCAGCTTATTGCGACCATAGACTGTATATAAAAGATGGACGTAGCCGCCGTAGCGGTCCGCCTTGGTTTGTGGGCTACCGTTCTAAAGCCTTGAATTTGGAATTTAGTCGTCGCCATCGTGTTCTTTTGAATCCAGGGATTTAACAAGTGAGTGACTAATCCGACTGAGAACTCGAGGACACAATGCAGGTCGATACGATAGCAAATTATCAATCACAAGGTAGCATCGCCCTAAAACACACCCTCCTTCATCGTCTCTTTTCTTCTAAATGGGACCATAATTTACAAAACAAACATCACACTGTATTGACCTGGACTTGAAACTAAAAACTGAGACCATAACTTCATTATTAAAATATTTACTGAGACAAAAAAATTAAGTCAGAAAAAGGGTTCTCATAGACTTCTATACAATCTGACTTCTTTGTGCACACAGGCGAGTCGCCCCCTGCTGGCTGGTGGACAGAATGCAGATTGAAATCCCTTTTCAGACCTGGAGGCAACATCTGTCTTTTATGCACTGTAGTATTGTGTTGTACTTTTTAGTCTTTATTCTTGTTTTTGTAATTAATTTGATTTAGTTTAGTCTTTTAGTTTTTTATTATTTTACCTGCACAGCACTTTTGTTCAACTTCTGTCTTACTGTGACTGTAACAGTTTGCACCTATTACCACCTATATACAGTAAAAATGACTACTTTAGTCATTTAATATTTATTTATT